TTTGTTGGATCATTGAACGGAACTGTGTGCTATGTCACTGTATGAATATCTACTTTATATGCTTTAATTTTATAATTTGGACAATTGTTTCTAAGATAACAATGTGTAATCTATTAACTAGTGATTTCTTACTGTATATATTTTTTGAAATTCTGTATTATTTGTACCCTGCTACTGCTTTGTTTTTTATTTCCTTTCTTTTTTCTCTTTAAATAAATAAATAAAAAAGAAAAGCAGGTAATGTGTCTTCATTGTTATCTACAGGTTACATTAATGTTTGTAGACATTCATTTTATTGTACTGTGCCCTAGTGTACTTTGTTGATATTACAATTTTTCACAAGTTAAAAGATTGTGGCACGCCATATCAAGCAGATCTATCAACACCATTTTTCCAATATCATAAAGTTATTTTGTGTTTGTGTCATAGTTTGATGATTCTTGCAATATTTCAAGATTTTTCACTATCATTGTGTATGTTATTCTTATCTATGATCAGTGGTCCTTGATGTATTATTGCCATTGTTTTTGGGCATCACAAACCATGCCTATTAAAGATGACAACCTTAATTACTAAATGTAGGTTCAAACAGCTCTACCAAGTGGCCATTTTCCTGCCTTTCCCATTTTCCAAATCTCCCCATTCCACGAGACACAATATGGAAACTAGACCATTCATAAATGAGTGAACAACACTTCTCTGGCATGTTCTACACTTTAAATCAGAAGCTACAAATTATTAAGCTCAATGAAGGTGTGACAAAGGCCAAGGTAAACTGAAAAAATAATTGCTTCTTGTGCCAGTTTGCCAAATTGTGAATGCACAGGAAACATCCTTGTGAAAAGTGCTCCTCCGGTGAAAACACGCATGATAAGAAGGTTACTTACTACAGCATGCTTACTACTAACACAGAGAAAATTTCAGTGCTCACAGAGAAGATCAAAGCAGTTACAACACTCCTTTAAGCTAAATCCTAATCCAGAAAAAAAGTAATAATTCTTTTGGTTCTGTGAGAGCTGAGAAACGTAAGGAAGCTGCAGAACAAAAATTTGAAATCAGACATTTTTCATGAGATTTAAAGACCGAGTCAGTTCCATACTATAAAAGTGTAGGATGAAGCAACACATGCTGATGCAGCGCTGCAGCCAGTTACCCAGAATATTCACCAAGAAAATAGATGAAGCTGACGGCACTAAACTGACATTCAGTGCAGGAGAAGCAGCCTCTATTGGGAGATGTGATCTAGGAATTTCACAGCTGGACCAGAGGAGCCAATGCCAGATTTCAAAGTATCCAAGGACAGGCCTGTCTTGTATTAATGCAGTTGGTGGCTATAGGTTGAAGCCAATTTCATTTCAATTTTCATTTCCGAAAATCATCATTCTTTAAGAATTACCCCAAATTTACTCTGCTTTGTTCCTGTAAATGGTACAATAAAAACTAGATACAATTCTATCTGTTTGCGTAGTTTACTAAAACCTTTAAGCCCACTAAAGATATCTACTACACACACACACACACACACACACACACACACACAGAAAATATTTCTTCCAAAGTATTAGTGCTCATTGACAATGCTCCAAGTAGCACTGAAGAAATTATACAATGAGGTTAATATTGCTTCCTGACTGTGAACCCATATCTGTTATTCAGTCCATGAATCAAGGAATAATTTCAATTTCAAGTCTTATTATTTAAGATGTATGTTTTCCAAGGCTATAGCTGCCAAAGACAGCTGTTGCCAAAGATAGCCTGATCAGTACACAGCCTTCAACATCAAGGCAAGACCCTCTGCCACTAGTAAAATGATTGCAATAGCTCACTGAAGGCTCAGATTGTCATTCGCAATTTTTAGCAATAAAGTAAGTTTTAATTAAGATATGTACAATTTTTTGGACATACTTCTATTGCACATTTAATTGACTGTACTATAGTGTAAATACAATTTTTATATGAACTGGGAAATCAACATATTTCTGTGACTTTCTCTATTATGATATTCACTTTATTGCACTGGTCTAGAGCCAAAGCTGGAGTGTCTCCAAGGTATACCTGGAACTAATTTTAAAATGTAAGCAATATTGAATCAAAAAGTTAACACACGTTTGAGTTAGTAATGTATCCTTAGGAATAAAAGTATTAAACTATTTATTTTATGACTAAAGGATAGAATTTTCCTCTAAATAAAATAGAATTTGAATTTTTTGTCAATTTTGAATAAAATAATATTAATCATTTGAAATATTTTAGAACAACTGATTTCATTAAAAGTAACTACTTTGAATTATACTGGTATTTAATTCAACTCTATACGGAGCCCAAAGTAATCTAATTTATAACTAAATGAATAAACAATAGATTGAATTACCAACTCTGTAATTCAATTAGGCCATTAAGAAAACTGAAGTAATAATTGCTTGTATGGACCAATTATTTCAGTCAGCCTAGTACCTGATGTAGATTTATAATTCTGCAATTCAATCTTCTGCTTGGCATTCAGATGTCCTGAACCATGAATAAAGTGACTGACAAAAACAATGGCTGCTTCAATCTGTCACCTTTCCCATCACATCAGGTAAGACATTTTAAACCACCTCGACTGTTACTTAGGGTTTTCTCAATGGTATTTCAGAAAAGCCAATACAAGTACTTACTATTGATTTACTCTACACACACACATACAAGGCAATTCCTTGAAAGTGAAATAACTTCATCAATCCACATATTATTTTAGTGACTATGGAAAAATATAACATTTTTAAGAGTGTTAATTCCATTCCAATTCTAACATCCCTAAATAAGGTTAATAACATATTGAGTTTATATTTTGTGGCAGTGTCTTCCTTTAAGAGAAGAGAAAATAGACTATATCATCTATAATCCAATTGCTTGAAACTCGTGCTTACAGCAAGTGGAAATTGATAAGGAAAACAGCATGCTTTTAAAATAAGAAAAACATCAATTAAAAAAACAAAGATAGGATTCGTCACTCTTTCACACAATCTTGTGCTTATCATAAACCTATGTATTTCACCTTTAAATCAATTACAAACAAGTATAAGTGAGTCAAAGAAATGTAGCCAATATTATGAGATAGGCTTAACATCTTCCTACTGGCTTGAACTGCTGGTGTTCCATACATCAGTGTCCCATCAAGCAGCTGGTAGTACAAATAGTATAGCCATGCCAGGGACAGTGGTTCAGTCCACTCGGCAGTGAGACATATGGATTATGGCTCAATTGTAAATGTATTAGCCAAGAATGACGTGTGTGTGTGTGTGTGTGTGTGTGTGTGTGTGTGCAATGTATCTCTGTTCATAATCTATTTAGGAATATACTTGTATTCATGATGGCACATAAAGAAAGATTATTGGATGCAATTTTTAAAATATTCAGTTTCCATTCAGGTAAAAAAATACTTTTAAAGTTACACCAACAATTACTTGTTGTTAGTCTAATTAATAATTTGACTTTAAATAAATCCTCATGGATTACAAGTCAAATGTGCTTTACAAAGTGAACAAATAAAGGTAAATGATAGTGTGCTGTTTATATCTCTGTCTTTCAAAATTTTCCACCTAAAAATTAATATTTGATTAGTCTAACATCATTCTTTATAACTCTGGAAAAAGATATTTCTATCATACTAAAATAATTAGCATTTGGGAAGCTGAAACAGGAGAATCATGAGTTTAGGCCAATCTGGACTGCATAAGCGAGCTTAAGGCCAGACTGAATTCTGTAAGAGGGAACCTGTCTGCAAACAAACGATAAAAAGATCAATACATTCTTGTCAATTTTCAATGTGACTTGTTTTAGCTTTTCATCTGACTCAACACATGTATTATTAATGATATGTGAATATAAATATTTAAAATGTTTGTAGATGTAATGGGTGTCTGAATAAATGCATGTATATGTTGGAAATAAATGTTACATTTGCATCTGTTACCACAAGGTGGGTATAATACTACTGTATTGTCAATAGTTATTAACATCTTTCATTCAGTATCTCTGGCCAATGGAGGATGGACTATATGAAGAAGAAAGAGGTTTTAAAGATATATTTTTAAAAAGTACTGAGAAACTTCCAATCAAATGACTTAATTACTTTTAGAATAACCCTTTATACAGTCAAAGTAGTACCGTAACTGCTCACAATTAAGAGTGCAGAGACAAGATTCGATTTCTATACTTTGGTGTGCAGTCCACACCAATTACTTAAGTACTCTCTATGCTTTTTTCTGGGTCATATCAGTGGAAGTAAAACAGACGAATGAGAGAAAGCAGATACTAAATACATAGATGATAGAGAGTCGTTTTTGAAAGAGATCTTAGAGAACCTTCAACAAACTCCTGATTTTAGGAGAGGTGAATGAGTCTAGTCTTAAAGATTTGTCAGAGAACAGATAGGAAGGTAAAAGATGACAAAAAATAGCTTTCTGTGTCATAATATTTTTCATGTTTTCTGTACAGTCCATGTTCATTCAGCAGTCTAACAGGCTGAGCTCTGTATCAGTCTTGGTCAATTCTATATCCCTTGTACTTAGCACAGTCCTTCTCATGAGTATATTAATGGATTCATAGATGACTGCTCAATATTAATTTAGAGACGATTCTGACCTTCCTAATGCTCACTTTCGTCTTTTGAAAATGGGGATAATAACTTTCTTTTTTACTGTTATTAATCAGAGGAAATGAAATAATACTCCAGTGGATATTATTAGCAATGCATTTTACACAAAGCAGGATGGACTGAACATTAATGGACTGTGTGAATGAGAAAGTGAATTAATTAGGACAAAGTATACATTTGTTTACCAAAAACTTCAATGACAAATATGGTTTTGGCATGCCTTAATCTAATAATGCCCAAGCAAGAATGTACACAAGTATAGAACACATAATAAATACAAAAAGATTGTATAAAAGAAAACCTATTGTTTGATCTATTCTAGGCAGTGTCATTCCAAAGAGGACAAAGGGCACTGAAATACCTGACAGAATTCTGACTTCTGCTTCATTTCCTATCCTTGAGCTGGCTGGATTTCGAGCTGAGCATCGATAGATTCCTGTGTCCCCTGGTTGAAGTCGGCTGATCTGCAGTGCTCCAGAGGGCAAGACCACCACGTGGGGGTCTCCTGGGACCGGAATAAGGTCTTGCTGATTTTTCTGCCAGTGTATTGTGGGCATGGGATCCCCAATGACTTCACACTTGAGTAGCACAGTGTCTCCCATGAAGGCTGTCACAGACTCTGTCTGGGAAAGAAACCTCAGTGGCCCTAGGGAAAAACAAAGAATGAAAGATAAGTGTTTCAGATGAGGCACACTAGTCACCAATGAAAATAATCACACATTGCATTTTTATGGCAATTACATTTTACAAGATATTTTCTCAGACCCATCACCTCATTCTTAGACATAGCACATTAATCGTCAGGCATCTGAGTGGACTCAGAAGCTGAAACAATTTTACCACATATCCCAAGCAGTTTTGCCACATAAAGTAAACAGAGCAGAATACAATCTAATTTTACACCTGTTGAAATTGAGGCAATTTTTGTGAAATGTGTCATCAATGACAAGTTACTGGAAATTTTACTTTCTAGCACTGATGTAACCCAATAATTTTACTTTTTATATTTTTATTAGTATAGGTTATATAAAACAATTACATTCATCTTGGGGATTTCTATTCTATTCATCACAGTTATATTCTGATTTTCCAATTTCATTTTAATTTTCTTGAGATTGTTTAAATTGCATGCACATTTGACTATAACATTTGATCCATTCATCACTTTCTGCATAACAAGCTAAGCAGCTCATGTTATTGTAATAGTTTATATATTTATTCTAATTAAGCCAAAATTACCCAGCTTCTGGTTAAAGTACTTTTGGTATCTGGATTTGACTCTTGTGCTTGCCAGGCAGGCACTGTGCCACTGAGCCAACCCCTGGCCCTCCAGGTTTAAGTTTTGTCAATAAGTTTCGAGTTTTTGCATCATTTTTTTTTGTCAGTAACAGATTCTATTTTATTGTGTTTTAAATACCACTAGCTTGATCTTAGGTCTATTAATTCTCACAAATCTAATTTTCTTTATAAATTGATAAAATTTAGCTAAGGACAGAAACCAAAGATATAATGGTTTGTGCCAAATATTATAATTTAATGTCAGAGACAGTAAAAAATTGTCTAGTCATTTTCCCTAGATGAAAGCAGATTTTCATGTTCTATTCAAAGATTAAAATCAAACTTAATTATCGTATTGTCTCCCTAATGTGAGAAACTGAAATTATACATGTATACGTATTTGTGTGTGTATATATGAGTATGTAGTATACATATATAGCATATACATATTATGTATATATAGTGTATACTATATGTGTGATACATATATACATACACATACATATGTATATACTATCATGCACATATATATTCACAGGCACAATTACTATCATATACATATATATATATACATATATACACACATATTCAAGATAAATTATGTGTATATACTACCATACACATACATACAAATGCTATCATATATAAACATATACATATATAAATACACATGATAGTTAAGATAGTTAAATTACTAATTTCTCTTGTTCATTGATAAGAAAGGTCTGTGCTAACATTGTTTGAATAATGAAATGCTGATATCTTGTTCTCTGAGTAACTATACTTTAAAGATAACAATATGCAATATACTAACCATTGTTACTCTCTAATTATATTGTTTTGAAAATAATTTTTCTCTTTTAAATAAAAATAAAGAAATTTCTGGAGGCTAGAAGTCAAAGGTCAGCACACCAGTATTTGTGTCTGGTGAAGCAGATCTCTGAAGTTAAAAAAATAATATCTTTAGCTAAAATAATTGAACCTTTAAAATATAAAATTAAATGAGTATCACCTACAATGGGTACAAGGTGCTTAAAATATATCTTCCATTATAGCTATATCCTCATAAACAGACTTGAAATCAGAGATCTTAAAGTTAAGAATGACTACTATTAGACAATGCAGAATGACTAATATTAGATAATGCAGAAATCTTAATTGTGATGCCGATGTTAATTTATCAATTAAATTTTATCCCATATATATATATATAGTTACTAAACTAACTCAATTACTCCTCTGATTCCTAAGCTAAGGCTCCGGAAATTTGAGCTACCTGGATCAACACTACAGATACATCTACAGAGGGCGCCAGCCACTTGCCTAATTCCATTCTTGACTTATCAAAAGAACTAATCCATAACTGTACTGATCTACCCTTGAGTGAAAAACAAAAGGAATCATTTAGCTTGTACATGGCTTATTGTTCAGGGTCCAATTTCCAGAAGTTTGTAGTACATGGTTTTAAATGTATTCAAAAAAGATTAAATTATATTAATCTGCAATGATTACCTTCAGCAAAGGTATAAACATTTACTTAAACAGAGTATGGTTTGCGTATGCTATAAAAAAGAACAGTACAATGAATAGTGGCAGATGTTTTGAGGTTTATGTTGGGCAACAAACTTTAAACAAATATCTGAAATTTTTATTCCACAGTTTTTCATTTTCATTCTTGTTTTTTCAGTTTGTTGTTAAAAAGGAATAATGTCCCCATAGAAACAAGTTATCTATTTCATAAATCTTGGAGAGGATAAAACATCTTTAGTAGTTTAATAAAAACATCTGGATATTTTACTATATTCAGATATATGGTTCTTTGTAAGATATATACATTCAATAAATTTAATTACAATATGTATTTTCACATTTGAATATTTTTGGTTTCTAAAATTGAACTTGTAAGTAAATTCAAGAACATAGAGTAAAATATAAAATTAAGGAGTAATTCAAATTGATATGGAATAATTTTTTCCCTCCATAAACTATCTGGCTGGAAGAATCCTACACAGGGCATAAGATTGCATAGTAATGTAATTAGACTTAATGGAATTGGCTGCTACTCTGCATCCTTATTCAGTAAGTACTCTGTGTTAATTTCAAATCTTAATAAAGAGGGGTCAGAGTTTCAGCTATTTAATAGTGAACAATGCAGTGTTTGGAAATTTCAAAAGGTTGATTATTTGTCATACTGTTAAAGTATAAAAACAATTAGTAGCTTTTTTTTTCTTTTGTCCAATAACCATCTTGAATGTGCAAGATATAAGCTCTCAGTTTACTGTTAATTTTCAAGGCCGGAGTATGGATAGTCAGTAATGAGTATTAAACTCACCGTAATTCATAAGAATAAAATACAGCAGCTTTTTTCAAGCATCATTTAATGCTCAATGCAATACAAATGATTCCTGTGCTTCGTGCAGGTATAATTTTAACTAGATACTCATGAACACTAGATACCTGCTCAGCAAGAGCCTATTTGAACTTATCAGATCACATGTGACCCACTCAACCATACCATTTCCCTCCTCTCTTCTTGCCTCATTCAGTCGCATTATAAACAGTCAAAATAACAGTGTTCCAAAATTCTCCTGGCTTTTTAATTTCACTTGGGAAACTTTGATGTTCCTCAGTTTTCTGGTCTTTTCTCATCGTTCAAATGCCAATCAAAAGGTATCTTCTGTTTTAAAAACATTATAATACTCATAATTTACACATACCATACCAGAGTTGAGTCTTTAAATAAATGCCTTAATGTGTTTGCATGTTTGTATTATGTTTTCTGAATTTTACCAAATATTCACTGACAGAATAAAAAAATACAACATATAAATATTTGCTGAAGCTCTACATGAGTCTAAATGTTTTGCAGACATCCACATCTTGAAAACTAGCTTTGAGTTTTGGGTCTATTACTTTCCAACACCCTAAAGAATGTTGGGTTTGGGAAAAACAACACACTGGAAGTCACCTTGCTCCTCCCCCTTTACACCAGGCAGACGGTTTTAGGCAATGTTTCAGTTTTGCACTTTGCGTTACTGTAGCCACCTTTATAAATGACCTTGTTTAATCTTCACAGAAGTTCTTTCTTTTTACAGTGCTAAGGATTGGACTGAGGGCTTTGCTCATTCTTGGAAAGTGTTCAGGAACTGAGCTAGGTAGGTCCATAGTCCGTGACAATTCTTTAAGTAGTTCTATTATTTCCATACTACGTATGGATCAGATATCAGAGCAAGTGAGTGTATGTAATCTTTATAAGACTTAGTAGTGAATTATTATACATTTTAAAATACCTTATTTCTTCAACTTAAGTGAAAATGTCTCAGATGTATCTCTACTATAAGTCACTACTCTCCATTCCAGAACCTCCCAGAAACAGCATAGAACTGAGGAAACTATGTTGTTCTCAGTTTTCTATATCCATGATTTCCATAAATGCAAATTCAACCAGCTATGGATTAAAACTTTGCATATATATATATATATATATATATATATATCACATGTGTACTAAAAATTAGAGTATAAAACTACTTACATTGCATTTATGTTTACATTGTCAATGAGAGATAATTTACTATGTCCAAGAGGATGTATCTTCACTCTGGAAATATGCTATACTATGCTACTTTACATAAGGGTTTGACATCTGCTGATTTTTGTACCTGTGTGGATGCTTTGAACCTCATCTCTTGCAGACATTTCAGAATAATGGTATATTCTAATCTAAACAGAATTTTTATGTACTAATTTCAGCCTGAACCACTACACAATTAAAGAGATCACAAAGCCAATTTTTAATTTTAGTGCAACCGGAGGGCTTCCCTATCTAGCCTTGGGAAGGCTGTTTTCAAGAATTAAGTAGTCAAAGTGTCTACCCCCACATCTTGCCTGGCCTGGGATGACGTGATAAGCTTTTTTAAATCTAGGAACACCTGGACTTATTAGTAGCTTCCTACACCAATTGATCCACAGGGTTAGACATTTCCTGTACCTTTATGTTCTAACAAAGACCTGAACCCATTAGTGAAAAACCAAAAAAGAAAGAACATTTTGTTTTACATATGGAAAAGTCAGACACATATGGAAGCTCAATTTTATCCCTGTCCTCAAAATTATAAATAGACATTTTTAATGCCAATTTTGTAAATGATTAATACACAGTAAAAGCGCCTTGGCTTTAGCATCAGAAATTGTATTTATGTCAACAATCATAATTACAGTTATATAGAAATCATTAATTGCTATTAGCAAGAAATACATAGCCATTATGAGATTACCATGAAGAAATATGTCCACTCTCTTTATTCTGATTTCTATAAAGGCGCTCTCAATTATTATCTTATAGCACTTTAATACTAAAAAGATTCA